TTTTGTTTTGTTTTGTTTTGTTTTGTTTCGTTAAATGAGATGTTTCAGTGTGAAACTGTATGGGCCGAGGGCATCTGCCGCTTCACAGTCCTGCAGTTATTTTCACGTTGCCCAGGTTGATGCTGTAACACCCACTTCTGCATCGTAGCTGCAATGCACACGGTTGCTCCCCCTTAATTCAACATTCAAGTGGATTCGGTACTCACTGAAGTCCTTTTACCATTGCTGTGTCTGGGTTCTTTATTTCGCTGTCCCTCCTAATTAGCTAGATTTCATTATCAGTCATTTCTTCAAGAAAGACTCATGAGTATTTCCTGAGTGTTTTCATGTCTGGGAATGTCTGCCCATTGCCTTTATCTCTGAGCACTATGTGGCTGGATATGATATTCTCAGGTTATAGTTTCTTCCCCTCAACACTGTGCAGCTATTGTTCCGCTGTCCCCTGGCATTGCCTGTTGCCGTGGCAAAGCCTGAGGTCAGCTGACTTTTCCCATGTGGATGCTTTGCCTCTTCGTCATGACTTTCTGGAGAACTCTTTCTTTTTGCCCCATAGTTCGTTAGCTTAACCAGACCATGTCTCAGAGTTGAATGTTTTGTGATAAACTTCTGGGACGCTGTGTGCTCTTTGAATTTTCAGGAGTGTGTGTGTGTGTGTGTGTGTGTGTGTGTGTGTGTTTTATTTTGTTTTTAACTTCAGGGGAATTTACTTTATGTCCGCAAAATATCTTCTGTCACATTTCATGGTGTCTCTACTTCAGGGACACCAGTTGTATTAGTTTTCTATCGCTGCTGTGACAAATTGTCACAAATTGGGTAACTTAAAACAACTTAAATTTATTATCTTACAATTCTGGGGTCAAAAGTCCAACACAGTCTCACTGGGATAAAATCAAGGTGTCAGCAGGGCTTTATTCTTCTGTAGAGTCTCTAAGGGTGAGTCTGTTTTCTTACCTTTTCCAGCTTCTAGAATCCACCAGCCTTCCTTGGCTCATGGTCCCTTCAAAGCCAGCAGTGGCCTGTTAAATCTTCACATCTCATCACTGCAACACAGATTCTTCTGCCTCCTTCTTCCACTTTTAAGGACCCTGTGATTACATTGTGCCCACCCAGATAATCCGGGATAATGTCTCTATTTTAAGGTCACCTGACTAGCAAACTCAGTTCTATGTGCAACCTTAATTCCCCTTTGCCATGTAACCTAACATATTACAAATTCTGGGGGTTAGGTCATGGGCACCTTTGAGGGGGCCGTTATTCTGCCTCCTACACCAATTATCCTTATGTTGGGCCACTTTTATCTGTCTTCCATATTCATTCATGTTTCTCTAATTGCTTTAATCTTTTCATCTTTCTCTTCTGAATTTCTGGGATTTTCTTAAACCTTTCCTATTTGTTGGTAATTGTAAATCTAGTAAACTTTCTAATTTACTTATTAGTTCAGTAATAATGTTGTTTTGGTCTCCCATTTTTTCTTAGTTTTGCAATTTTCCTTTTT